ATAAATTTTTTATCTTTATTGAATAACTTACTGAGCCATAATTTACTATATGCCATATTTGGTAGTAGTCTCCATTCATGAATTCTACTCACAGAATCTCATTGGCCAGTAAATTTGTACCCCCTTGTTTAACCGGTTTTTCTGCTATATATACTGAGGCATGGGCCCATCCCTGTCAGTGCGGGCAATTTAACTTACTTATTACCAGCTGCCCATTGTCACCACTTGAAAGGTAATTTTCCTAGTTTATTAAATTTTTGTATTTTATTTATTAAGTCCAAGTTATAAGCTCAAGTGTTTTTCATATTTTTGAGAGAAAGGTATTTTAAACTATGAAATTGACGTTTTTGGCTTAATGAACTTAAATTTTCTTATTTTTGAATGAATATGAAATAAGAGTATTTTGTCTCAGTGTCTATGTGTATTATGATATTGTATATATGTTTTTGTATTTGTAGATCTGCCATTGCTTTTTCATTCCTAATAAATTTATTAAACTGAACCTGCGTTCTTCATCCCCGCTTGGTTACATCAACATAACGATAATTTTAGTAGAATTTTTTTTAAAATACAGAAATTTTGCCCAACATTTATTGGAATCTTTGAGATACATATTTCTGTGAAATTTCATAACTCTATGACGTCTGTAAGAGTGAATAATAGCACAGTCCGCGTAATTTTTGAACGGCCCTCGTAGTGTAATAAACTGTTAGTTTTACAATTTTTGTTTATATTAAATTTTCATAATTGGTTTGAGTATCATTGCATCATTATTTTACAATAAAAGAACCACGAAATAAATTAAGTATGGATATAAAATGTCTTGTCTTTCCTCTGCGATTTTCGTATTATTTTTTTAATTCAAAAGTGCACTTGCTGAGCATTTCTATTGTGATTTTCACATCGTTCAGACTAATTTGCAGCGAAAAGAAAATACTTGATAACTTTATGGAATTTAATTAAAACTCCTAGTAATCAAATGTTTATAGAGAAATGTCGACAGATAACAGATTCTTCCGTTATTACCTGTTCATGACAAGAAGCATACGGCGGGTGTGACCGGTCAGCAGGGGATGCTCACTCCTCCATGGCACCTGATCCACCTCTGATGTTTCGAATGTACTATGCTTTGCTACTATTTTGTATTGTTTTATGGACTTTGATATTGAATACTGTTCGTTATTTCCATATCCTTCATTTTGCTATATATGCACACATAACAATCAGATGGCTTTGGAGAACTATTGTGAAAAAAATAGTTCTACAACGATTCGGATAACTGGGCTTCCAGAGAAATTTTTTTTTTAAAAAATTCATTGATAACAGTGAAAAATCAATTGATATAAAAGGCTAATTGATATACAAGGGGCGTTCAATAAATAATGTCACTGGGGCTCAGAAAGAAGCAAACGACGCTTTTCAATGATTTAGTCTTCATTATTTACTTTTGATCTCTTTTAATTCAAACACATGTCCGTAACATTTTTTATCCAATATCTGATTGTTTTTAGAACTCATTTTTGGGTATGACTCTTAGTATACTGGAAAATGGCAGATCCAATGATTTCCTGGACTTTTTTTTTCCTTCTGAAAGGTGTTTTTTCCAAGTGTGGAAATAGAAACAAGTCAAAAGGTCAAAGATCTGGTAAATATTGTTAATGTGAAAAAACATTAACTTTCTTTTTATCACGAAAACCCCTTTACTCTTTAGGGCATGCGGATTTGAACGCTGTCATGGAGAAATACAATGTAGTGGATTCCTGATTCTGGGTCCTTTCTCTGATAAACCTTTCGATTTCTTTGCAAAAAACTGCTTTCTAGACACCTCCAGATATTAAACTGTCTCCCCGAATACTAATTTGAACAACAATACCACTTATATTTAAGAAAATTGCATATAAATCTGTCTTTGTGCTCTTGCATACCTTTGCTCTTGACAGATCTTCGACGTTTTTTTTCAAGTACATCTTATGTTAAATTTTGTTTTAATGGTTTTAAGCAATAGATTCATGTTCCAATATCTGTTTGAATATAAAACAAACGTGGATTACTACAATTACTGATATTTTAAAATAATTGTTAAGACTTTTGTACATGCAGTCGCTTTCACTCATTTTTTTAAAAATACAGGGTGACCTTAGAGTACCAAGCTTAATTACTGTCAAACGTTTCTTAACAGCAGTGTAAACTACTCCCGATATGATGTCTATCAAATTTGCTATGTGTCTTAAAGTCAATCATACAACATCAAATCTTATTTGCTGAAATTTTGTTAACAGTACATAAGTTGTTATAATTTTTGTTGGCAAGGAGGGTACCCATTTTTGATGCCCATTATAAAATTTTTTATCATTGATATCCACCTGCTCATTTGTCTATAAAACACATTGGTTGCTGTAAATGTCACATATTTCAGTAAATATTTCTTTACGATTTTGAACAAGTTTTACAGCAGCTTTAATGTAGCTTTTATTTTTATTCTAGTTTAATGATTCTTTACCATTCATTTATAATGCAGTGGCTCGAATAGCCCTTGTTTCCCAGCTTCTCACGATAAAACTATGTGATGAAAAGTGGTCACATAAACTGTTATAAATTCATTAAAGATTCAATAATGAGAGAAAGTCAAGCTTTATGTCATATGACTGCTATGTTGTATGTCATCGAGCTAGTGACATTATTTATTGAACGTCCCTCGTACATGTAACAAGGATTCTGTGGAACTTTTGAAGCAAAAATAGGTTTAGAGAACTATTGCATTATCAAGGATTTATAGAATTTTGAAGCAAGAAGAGATTTAGATAAATATTGAAATAACAAGGATCCGGTAGAACTGAAACAAAAGGGATTTGAAGGACTATTGAAATAACAACTGTAGAACCTTTGAGATTTAGAAAATTAATGATATAACAAAATTTTACAGGGAATCAAAAATGGGTTAAAAGGGCTATTGAAATAACCACTGTAGAACATTTAAAGCAAAGATGGTTTGGAGAACTTTTGGAATAATAAGGATTCAGTAGAGCTTCTGAAGCAAAAGGAATTTAGAGAACTATTGAGATACTTCGTACCAAGCATTTTGGGGAACTTTTGAAGCAAAAAGGGTTTAGAGAATTATTGAAACAACCAACATTCTACAAAATTTTTGAAGCAATAAAGACTTAGAGAGCTATTGAAATACTAATGATCCTGTAGAACTTTTGAAGTAAAAAAGGCTTTGATGGACTATTGTAAATTATAGAAACAACTGTGGACACCTTTGAAGGAAAGGGGTTTTAGAGAACTACTAGTTTATTGATATTACAATTATTATATACGACTTTTGAAGCAAAAAAGGAATAAGAGAACTAACTTTTGCAATAACAAGGTTCCTGTAGAACTTTGAAGCAAAAATGACTTGTGAGAACTGTTTAAAATAGCAAGAATTCCAAAATGAAAAAAAATTCAGACATTGTAATTATGTATGTATTTAGACAACTGTGTTTCATTGGTACTATTCAGATAAAAAAGGGATAAATACATTTGAAATAACGTTTTTAGAGATTAACAAGTCAACTTTAATTTATCAAGTTGATTCCATTAATTTCTTTGACAACAGAGAGGCTTACGGATCTGTTTTATATTTGCATATTATTTGATCTCAGCAATTACAAACTATCATTTAATCAAATGCTTTCATAAAACTTCTTAGTCCATTATTTACACACTGAATCGACGATGAATTTTCGGTTATATTCAGTTCAGTATAAGTAGCAAACGGCGGGTGTGACCGGTCGGCAGGGGGTGTTAACTCCTGCATGGCACCTGATCCCACCTCTGATGTCCCGGAGGTCCGTGTTTACTCTGCTCCTATTTTGTATTGTTTATCAAACTTTTGAGTTCTATTCATTATCTCCATAAATTCCATTGTAGTCTATAGACCTGTTATATAGAGAGAGAAAGGTTAATTCGACAATTCATATATATGTATGAGGAACTAGTTATCTTCATTTGTTCTTACATGTTTCTTATAAGTGTTACTGTCATGAGTCTTAAAAAAGGAGATCTTCCTGTGGCAACATTTAATAAGATGGACATTTTTAAAAATATTTTAATCACTCTCTTATATCATATCAACTGAAGAATAATCCAAGGCCAGACATTTAAAATTATAGTATAGAATCCATGCAGGATGACATGATTCTGTAACTTTCATATGCATGTTTACATGTATCTCTTTTACTTTAGGTAAGATTGAATGAGAACGGTTCATAATTTGATGAGAAGACTTTGATTACTAAATCCTCTATTAATTTACGATTCTTGTCTTAGATATAACATGAAATGAAAGATTTTACAAAAGTATTTCAAAAATGTATGGTTTTTTAACGTATACAAGAAATATGATTATATTTTAGTTCAATTTTACACAGATATATTTTATTAGTATTCGATAATTTATAGCTTGGATGGAAAGTTATACAATTCAAATGAAAAATAATAGAATACAAATAAAAAATAAAGGGAATACGAAATAAATTATACAAAACATATAAAAATTATACACTGCAAAAACACAATGTAGATAATTATAGAATACAAATAAAAATCATCCAATTCAAATGGATATTTTTTACAATACAAATAGAAATTTACAGAATACAAAGAAAATTATACAATACAAATGGATTAGTTTACAATGTAAATGGAAAACTATAGGATGCAAATGAAAATTATGCAATTCAAATGGAACATTTTACCTTGCAAATGGAAAATTATAGAATGAAAAAAAAAATTAAAATACAAATGGAAAAATTTAATTTTGTAACTTTTGACAAACTACAGTTTAAAAACATTCTTATGAAAAATGACGTAATAAATATTCAACAATCTAAGTACTGCCTTTTTTGTTACATACATTTAAAACACTTTCTTCGATTTATACAATGCATATTTTTTCAATTTGAAATATATTTGATGTCGAATTTTTTCCCGCTCCCCGAAAGACAAATGACCCGGAAGTTAATGTGAAGTGGGTCAATAGATTATTGTACCGCAGTCTAAAGAAGCCATGTTTTAGGGCGTGAAAGGTAAGGCAGATATTAATCTTTTAATTGAATATCTTTTAATTTTTCTACATATAGATGCAATCAATGATATTTGTTTATAAACTGTAATTTAATTCTTGAAACTTGAACTAGCCATACAGCCTTTTATTCTACTTTCAGTTTAAAGCGATTCCCAAATAAACCCTAGCCCATAATGTTACAACTCATAGCTATAAAAATAATTTAAAAAAATAAACTAGCATAAAGTTGTTTAAATTCTTATACAATTGAATAAGTAAAGTTACCCGTGCATGTCTACAGTAAAGAAAAAAAACTGTCGGTTCGTTAAAACTTAGAATGAACATATTTCTGAGAGAATGCAAAGACTAGTGTTAATTAAAGACACACACTCTTGAAATGTTGGAAAATAACTAGTAAAATACAAAATTAATTAAATTCAACTTTACTTTATCATCTCATCGGAGACCATAGCCAATTTGAACTAAATCAAAATGTAGGTGTATATAATATAATAATATATTTTTTACTATACAATTAATTGTTAATCAAAATTTATGGAACGCCGTCAATGCCTTATAGCAGAACACTACAACTGCATTGTGTCAACTTTCCATTACATTATGTCTACACTTAAGTGACATTTACTTACAGTACTATTGCATTGAGTCAACTTTCCAGTACATTATGTCAACTCTTTATTACATTTACACACACTACTATTGCGTTATATCAACTTTCTATAACATTTTGTCAAGTCTTTATGGCATTAACTCACACTTGAGTTCAATTACATTGCGCCAATCTATCATTGCATTATATCAGCTCTTTATGACATTAAGTCAAAACAATTTTACGTGGTGTAAAGATGTTTTAAATAATTTCAACTCATTGTTACATTATGTGCACTCCCTACTATTTGGTCGAAGTAGTCCATTACATGATGTGAATTTACAGTAATTCAATATCAAGTCGATATAACACGATGTCAGATTTTCATTTCATGATGTCAAAACATTGTCACATGTGGCCAATTCCTTACTACACTGTGTCATCAATATGCTACATGACGACGGGAATCTATTACATGATGTCAATTTTTCCTTACTTTTTGACAAATCATTATTATGTTATGCCATTGTATCTTTACATTGTGTCTAAAATGCTTACCCTCTTGTCATTATATCTTATAGTATTTCAACCCTTTATTGTGTGACATAAGGTATAGGTTATGCCTAAAAGTTCCTTTTGTGTTTTCAATATTACATGCACAGATGTTAAACTTGCAAATAATTTTATTTTAACATATCAATATGTGTCATGCAGCAATATTTTTCTTTTTATTTTGAATTGTTTTGAAAAGTCCGAAACTTCTGATCTGACGACAAAACACTGTCCTAATAAGCTTCTTATCAGTCTTTTTAAAAGTGTAAACACATCGTATTTCATACGTGCACTGGTGGGTGGGTTGGGAGAGGGGGATCCCGCCCTCCCCTCTTTAGTGACCAAACTTTGCCGGTATGAAATTAATCAGCTGATTTTACTTTGTAGGACATTGCATTAGTTTCACATAAAGTATAATTGAAATAAGTTGAAAACTTAAAAAAAAACAACAAAAGAAAAGCCCGAGAGATCTCAGGCTTTTACCCCCCTGATCCCCAACTTAGACGCCATACCGTCCCCCTAAGGCTACTCTTTTCAAGAACCCAAGATCGTCACTGATATGTGCCCATGTTTACTGAGGCATTGTCAATTGATTTAAGTGAAGGATTGGTAGATTTTTGTAACAGAATTCTGGTCCTGGAATGGTTGAAAAATGACTAATTTCAGTGACATTACATCGTTTTTGAAAGTTGGGGGAGGTTTGTCAGCCAGAAAAAAAAATGGAGTACAAGAAAAGGCAAAAAAAAAAAAAAAAAAAAAAAAAAAAAAAACAAACAAACAAACAAAAAAAAAAAAAAAAAAAAATTGTCCAAACTCGAAAGTCCTATTTCGGGTGAAAGGGGGGATCCAACTTCGATCAGTCCTAATTTTTTTTTCCAAATATACAACATTGCCCTTATACTTCAGCAAAAAGTGGGGCGGAATTTCAATGAACATTATCTATGATGAAGTTATTTCGGAAAAAGAGGAAGCCAGACCCCCCCCCCTCTCATATAATGTGTCTGTAATTCGTCCTAATTAATCAGGACCCCCCTTCCCAGTCGTGAAAACACGGTTATCAACTTTGACATAATGTAAATGTATTTTACAGCACGTATTGAACATTTGTAATCAACGTGCTGAAGAGTTAACACAATGTAAAGATAATTTGAAATAACATAAGAAAGAGTTAACATATTCTCATTAAATATCCACATAACGGAATGGAGTGTTGACATAATGTAATAAAGTTTTGATATAATATGGAACGCCGGGACTGTCTCCATAATGTATGTTCACATTATGTTATAAAACTTTTTAAATCACGTAATATAGCACTGGCATAAAGGTAAGATGTATTCACCTCACATTTTGATGACCTCGGCGTAAAATAAAGATACTTTAACATCACGTAATAATGATTTGTAATAACAGAAATATACATTCACAAAAGGGAATGGACTTTGACTTAACATAATGATAAATTTTATCATAGAACACATGTAAAACGAAATTAACTTTACGTAATGAAATTTTGACCGCACATATTAAAGAAATGAAATAATATAAAGAAATATTCATTTCACATAATAAAGTTTTTACACAATGTAAACATATTTTCACTCCACATAATGAACTTCGGACTTTAAGTTATAAAGTGATGACATTATGGAAGAAAGTGTTTACTTCATGTAATGCAGCATTGACATGATGTAAAGATATTTTTACATCACCCATAAAAAGTTGACAAAACGTAAAGATATGTTCACAACACGTAATGATAGATTGACATAATGAGGGCATAGTTTTATGCTATAAGGCAGTGATGGCGTTCCATAGAAATTAAATTAAATGATTCCTCGTCCATTTTAACTAGAATTACTTACTCTGCCACATTCTTCCGAAAGTTTCAATATTCTAACTTTCGTGCCCAAACCTTTCATGTAATGTAATAAGCTTTACCTTTTAAGTTAGTTTGGGGTTCTAATATTGATCTAAAAGATTTTCTGAATTTTTTTCTATTTTTTTTTTTAACAAACTTATTCATATGTACATTTTATTCTTTTATTCAGTAAACTTTTAAACATGGCTTCGGGGTTTGCTCAGCACTACGTGGAATGTACAACATGCGATAGCAATGCTGAATACTACTGCAACACTTGTCAGTTTGACTTGTGTCAGGCCTGCAAAGAGACCCATCAGCGAAAGAAGAAAACGGAAAACCATGAGGTCGTTCTGTATAGAGAAAGAGAAGAAAAAGTACAAGAAAGGTGCAGCACGCATAGTGACAAAATATACAACGCTTGCTGCAAAGAATGCGAACTACCCGTATGTATAAAATGTATAACAGAAAGCCATTCGTGTCACGCCATTGTGGAAATTGAAGACATTTTCAATCAGAAGCTTGAAGTGTTTAACAAACAAATACAAGACTTGAAAGAAAAAATAATTCCACAGTGTGAGGATGTTCAAAAGAATATAAGCAAAGAAATTGAAAACTGCAGGAAAACACTCTCACAAATTCGATCAGATTTATTAACTACCGCTCAATCCATTAAAGACCTAGTGGACTTCATACTTAAAGAGAAAACGGAAAAAGTAAGTAAACTTGAAGAAAATCTTATGAAGGAATTGCAATCTCATGAAAAAGAGATGAAGACATACACCAACGGTCTGAATTCCATCATCGAAGACTTCGAAGATCTAAGGAGAACAGATAAAAAGGCCGAGTTTATCATTAAACACAAAGAAAAATTACAAATAATCCCCTTACAGTCGCTTGGTAACATGTTTTATACTCCGCCTCCATCATTCACGCCGTGTCCTGTATCCAAGGAGCAGATAGAGAAATTGTTTGGGGATATTGCTGAAGAGTCACAAATACCTTTACCGTGTACATCAGATCTGCATCACCTTGTTCATGAAGCGAGTTTTTTCCCCAGTTTTGAAATAGCCAAAACTTCTGAAGAAATTGGTGATATTGGTGTGTCCGGTGTTAATGTCATACGCCATATTGTTTTCCAAGATGAAAATACTTTCTGGGTCAATGATGGGACCGGATGTCTAAAACAGACAGACTTGCAAGGAAAAATATTACAAACGATCAAACCTGCCTCTAATGGAGACGGCATTCATACATTCACAGAACAAGGAATTCTATATATTGCACCGAATAAACGTAATATACACTTATCAGACCGGGAGGGAAAAGTAAGAGATCTCATTACTGTTAATGATTGGGATTTATGTAGTGTCCACAAAAGTCGTTTGAATGGCGATATCTTTGTTGGAATGAGGAAAGAATCTACAACAGCTCGAGTCACGAGGTTCAATGAAAATGGCAAAGTTCTTCAACACGTCCAAGTTGATAAACATACAATCGGACCATATCCACATCCACACTTCATAACAGAAAACAGGAATGGCGATGTAATAGTGACAAATAATGGAAACAGAAAGGTTGTAGTTGTAATGGACAGTTCTGGAAGATACAGATTCACCTATACAGGGAATCCAGAAAGCTCGATAGGAAATCCCTGGGGAGTAGTGACGGATATTCTAAAGAATATTCTTATCTGTGACAGTGATAATAAAAAGATCCATATTATCAACGAAGATGGCGTGTTTCTCGAATACATAGAAGTACCTAATATGTACGGTTTTCTTAGTGCTGTAGATGTTGATGACATGCACAACGTCTGGGTGGGATTTTCGAAATCTGGTACAATAAGAAAATTTCGATATCTTCAAGAATTCCAAAAGTCTACATGCAGTTTTGATAAGCTTACTTAATTTGACGTTATATTTTTTAAAACCATTAAAGATCAAATTCCATTATACTGAGTAGGACTTTCTAAGATTAAAAATGATATGCTTAGCACTTGATCCCAGTTATGATGTTTTGGAGAACTGTGTTTGCTCTGCTTTTAGTTTGTGATTATTTTCCTTACATAAACGAGGACTGCCAGGAATTTTTCATGATTTTTTAAAAATCACCATAGTTTTGTGCATTACTCTGAAAACTCTTTAATTTAAGGTTCCTCCACACCCCGTGACTTGTGATATCGAGAAAAAATACTTTTACTTTGGTTTATATAGTTTGTGCACTAGCAATTTGCCTGTTGTATTTTTTTTAATAAAGAAAGAAAATATATGCTCAAATAGAAGAAAAAAAGTCGCCTGCTTAGCGCAGTGGAAAAAGCGTCTGCTTTTGCGGAGTAAGAAGCTAATCCTTACGTCGCGTATTCGAAACCCACTGTGGGGCGAGGAGACCAGTCCTTCAGGTGAAATCGTATATACCGAGGTTCCTTGTCACAAAATGTGTTGGGACGAAAAAAGTTTACTGCTTAAAGGTCCTAAGTGTCGAGTAAAGGACAAAATTTGCAGCTCTCCGGCAAATACTGCCGTCTCTGTATGAGTGAAAAATTCTCGAGAGGGACGTTGAAAAACATACAATCAAATAAATGGGGAAAAAAATTAAATACTGGAAATTGATCTAACAAAAATTATGAAATAAAAATACGCAATAATAAAATAAAGAGGTACTTAAAACAAATTGTGGCATACACAATACGATCGATTAAAACGATAATACGATACGATCGGGGTATACAAAGACAGTCACAGTAGAGAAGGAGTGTTCGTTACTTCTCTGTAAGGAGTTCAATTGTTTCACTACATTTGTATCACAGGCATTTCCTACAAAGGGTTACTGTATATTTTCCCTTTTAATAACCATAGGTCATGTGCAGATCCCCTTAAATTTGCATTGTTATAAAATTGATATACTAAACCAAGTACACAATGACCTTGGACCCCCCCCCCCTTAGAAAACGCAGACACCCCTCGAAACCCCCCCATGGGTTTTTGGACGGTATAGGCGAGTTTAGTTTTTTTTTCTTTTTTACAAGGGTGGACCCCCCTCCCCCTGCTGGATCCACGCATGAAAGGTTGTAATTCTTGTTTGATTGTGAAATATTTTTTTTAATCTTTTATCGAAAATTAAGAAATACTAATTAAAACTTTTTACAATATTAATAATTCTACCTTTCTGCAACCATCCATTTTTTACAAGGAAGCGAAGCAATATATATAACAACATAAAATTAACAAACAAAACCATATATTACTTTTTAGCTCACCTGAGCCAAAGGCCCAAGAGAAATTTTCTGATCGAAATTTGTCCGTTGTCTGTTGTCGTCGTTGTTGGCGTTGCAAACTTTTCACATTTTCATCTTCTTCTTAAGAACCACTGGGCCAATTTCAACCAAACTTGCTTCAAAGTATTGTTGGGTGAAGGAATTCAAGTTTATTCAATTGAAGGGCAACGCCCTCTTCAAAGGGGAGATAATTATAAATTAGTGAAAAAGTAATGTCATATTTAAAATTCTTCTTCTTAAAAGTCACTGGGCCAGGAAAAATGAAACTCGTGTAGAAACATCCTAATGTTGTGATGATTAAAGTTTGTTCAAATAATGACCTCCGGGTGAAGGGTGGGGCCACAATGGGGTATCAAAGTTGAACATAGGAATACATAAGAAAAATTTTCAAAATTTTCTTCTCAAGAACCACTGGGTCAGGAAAGAAGAAACTCATGTAGAAGCATCTTCTGGTAATGTAGATTCAAGTTTATTCAATTCATGACCCCCGGAGGAGGGGTGGGGCCACAATGGAAAATATCAAAGTTTAACATACAAAATACATATGAAAAATCTTTTAAAATATTTTTTTCAAGAACAACTGGGTCAGGAAGGTGAAACTAATGTAGAAGCATTATCATGTAGTGTAGATTCACGTTCAAATCATTAACACAACCCGTAGGGGTAGAGGTGGGCCACAATGGGTAATCAATGGGAAAACTGGAAACATGGGAAAAATCGTTTAAATTCACCACAAGAACAACAAAGCCTTGATTGACAAGGCATATAAAAGCATCAAAAAAGGTTATGTAGATTAAAATTTGTTCAAAGCACGTCACTGATATGTGCCCATGTTTACTGAGGCATTGTCAATTGATTTAAGTGAAGGATTGGTAGATTTTTGTAACAGAATTCTGGTCCTGGAATGGTTGAAAAATGACTAATTTCAGTGACATTACATCGTTTTTGAAAGTTGGGGGAGGTTTGTCAGCCAGAAAAAAAAATGGAGTACAAGAAAAGGCAAAAAAAAAAAAAAAAAAAAAAAAAAAAAAAAAGAAAGAAAACAAACAAACAAACAAAAAAAAAAGAAAAAAAAATTGTCCAAACTCGAAAGTCCTATTTCGGGTGAAAGGGGGGATCCAACTTCGATCAGTCCTAATTTTTTTTTCCAAATATACAACATTGCCCTTATACTTCAGCAAAAAGTGGGGCGGAATTTCAATGAACATTATCTATGATGAAGTTATTTCGGAAAAAGAGGAACCCAGACCCCCCCCCTCTCATATAATGTGTCTGTAATTCGTCCTAATTAATCAGGACCCCCCTTCCCAGTCGTGAAAACACGGTTATCAACTTTGACATAATGTAAATGTATTTTACAGCACGTATTGAACATTTGTAATCAACGTGCTGAAGAGTTAACACAATGTAAAGACAATTTGAAATAACATAAGAAAGAGTTAACATATTCTCATTAAATATCCACATAACGGAATGGAGTTTTGACATAATGTAATAAAGTTTTGATATAATATGGAACGCCGGGACTGTCTCCATAATGTATGTTCACATTATGTTATAAAACTTTTTAAATCACGTAATATAGCACTGGCATAAAGGTAAGATGTATTCACCTCACATTATGATGACCTCGGCGTAAAATAAAGATACTTTAACATCACGTAATAATGGTTTGTAATAACAGAAATATACATTCACAAAAGGGAATGGACTTTGACTTAACATAATGATAAATTTTATCATAGAACACATGTAAAACGAAATGAAATTTTGACCGCACATATTAAAGAAATGAAATAATATAAAGAAATATTCATTTCACATGATAAAGTTTTTACACAATGTAAACATATTTTCACTCCACATAATGAACTTCGGACTTTAAGTTATAAAGTGATGACATTATGGAAGAAAGTGTTTACTTCATGTAATGCAGCATTGACATGATGTAAAGATATTTTTACATCACCCATAAAAAGTTGACAAAACGTAAAGATATGTTCACAACACGTAATGATAGATTGACATAATGAGGGCATAGTTTTATGCTATAAGGCAGTGATGGCGTTCCATAAAAATTAAATTAAATGATTCCTCGTCCATTTTAACTAGAATTACTTACTCTGCCACATTCTTCCGAAAGTTTCAATATTCTAACTTTCGTGCCCAAACCTTTCATGTAATGTAATAAGCTTTACCTTTTAAGTTATAGTTTGGGGTTCTAATATTGATCTAAAAGATTTTCTGAATTTTTTTCTATTTTTTTTTAACAAACTTATTCATATGTACATTTTATTCTTTTATTCAGTAAACTTTTAAACATGGCTTCGGGGTTTGCTCAGCACTACGTGGAATGTACAACATGCGATAGCAATGCTGAATACTACTGCAACACTTGTCAGTTTGACTTGTGTCAGGCCTGCAAAGAGACCCATCAGCGAAAGAAGAAAACGGAAAACCATGAGGTCGTTCTGTATAGAGAAAGAGAAGATAAAGTACAAGAAAGGTGCAGCACGCATAGTGACAAAATATACAACGCTTGCTGCAAAGAATGCGAACTACCCGTATGTATAAAATGTATAACAGAAAGCCATTCGTGTCACGCCATTGTGGAAATTGAAGACATTTTCAATCAGAAGCTTGAAGTGTTTAACAAACAAATACAAGACTTGAAAGAAAAAATAATTCCACAATGTGAGGATGTTCAAAAGAATATAAGCAAAGAAATTGAAAACTGCAGGAAAACACTCTCACAAATTCGATCAGATTTATTAACTACCGCTCAATCCATTAAAGACCTAGTGGACTTCATACTTAAAGAGAAAACGGAAAAAGTAAGTAAACTTGAAGAAAGTCTTATGAAGGAATTGCAATCTCGTGAAAAAGAGATGAAGACATACACCAACGGTCTGAATTCCATCATCGAAGATTTCGAAGATCTAAGGAGAACAGACAAAAAGGCCGAGTTTATCATTAAACACAAAGAAAAATTACAAATAATCCCCTTACAGTCGCTTGGTACCATGTTTTATACTCCGCCTCCATCATTCACGCCGTGTCCTGTATCCAAGGAGCAGATAGAGAAATTGTCTGGGGATATTGTTGAAGAGTCACAAAAACCTATACCCGGTACATCAGATCTGCATCACCTTGTTCATAAAGCGAGTTTTTTCCCAGTTTTGAAATAGCCAAAACTTCTGAAGAAATTGGTGATATTGGTGTGTCCGGTGTTAATGTCATATGCCATTTTGTTTTCCAAGATGAAAATACTTTCTGGGTCAATGATGGGACCGGATGTCTAAAACAGACAGACTTGCAAGGAAAAATATTACAGACGATCAAACCTGCCTCTAATGGAGACGACATTCATACATTCACATGTCACAGAGCAATCACCCAAGTTAATTAATTGTAAATGAGAGAGTTAGAAGTTCTGATAGGTTGCAGGTGCGCGGCGCAGGCGTTGTAGCCCTGTTTCCCAAGAGTGTGATTTGAGCTAGTTAGAGAGAAAGCGAGTGGACAAGCATGGATTTATAATTTGTTTATTTGTCATTTCTGTTATCGTTGTTTATTGTGCGTGAAAGAGTTCTGAGAGATGAAAGTGAGCACTAGAATGATTTGTGTGAGAAGGTGGGCCCTGGGAACATGAGTGAGAGAGAGGAGGACAAGTCTGAAAGTCAACGAGTGTGGATGTGTTTTTGTATTGTGAACAATTGTGATTTCTTATATATATATCTGTGTTGTAAATATGTAAATAAACGATGTAAATAAAAACTATAGTCATTAATTACCAGTGCCAATGACGGGGAGGACCCCCGTCACATATTATGGTGGCCAGCGGTCGGATTAGATTAACTTAATCATGTCAACAGATACTTTGGGAAATTAACTCTTGTTTAGAATTTGTGAGGAAAATGACTCGGAAAAACAGGAGACGCAAACTGTAGAGGATTACGATGGAAACATAACGAAGCTCGCTACACGTGCGTACATGGACATGCCTGGACGGCAAAAAGAAACTCTCACTAAGGAGCATTTCATTCAAGGACTAAAACCTGAAACCAAAAGGTATGTTTTGCTTCCCAATCTTAAAACTTTCGAAGAAGCAATCAGGGGCACAAAGAGGGAGGAATGTAACAACTTCCTGGTGGATGTCCCGATGGCCAGGATAACAGTGGCAACTAGATGTACGTCGTGTGGCTCTATGAGAACAGGAGAGCTGGAAAAGTCCCTTGCACTTGCAGAACACACAGCAAAGGTGTCCGTGATGGCTACCGAGATCAAATTATTCATCTCTAAGCAACAGTACATTCCGCAAAACCTTCGAGAACGAGGCCGTGGATTCCGTCAAAGACCGGACCGAAATCCTAGGACCACCGACGGGAGACCGATCTGTAATAGCTGTGGGAATGTAGGGCATTTCGCACTCCAGTGTAACGATGAGAAAGATGCCGATTCCAAAAACTGAAGTTCGCATCCAGTACTCCTGAGGACAGCCGGTGACAGAAGACGGACGATGAAGTTTCGTCGGTCTGTGAAAAATGTTTTTGAAAATTTACCCTCAAGTTTTGTGTCGCCAAAACTGGAGGAGGTGATTGTCATTTAAATCCGCAATTTTGTTTCGCCAAAATTGGAGAAAGTGTTAAGAGTCAAATGGTCTTAAAGTTGATTGATAATGGACCCAGTGAGATGATTTTCAGTGAAGAATTCGTGCGTGGAGACGCAACGAAAACGGCCTAGGGAGTGACCTTTTTTGATGGCAACGGGCGACCGTGTCGACATAATTGGAAAAATGCGATTTTAGAATAAGAATTGGTAAAGAAAAAAATGGATATTGTGTATGGCAACGGGCGACCGTGTCGGCATAATTGGGAAAATGCCACTTTATTATAAGAATTGGTGAAAAAAATCTGATGTTATGTGTAATGCTTTTATTGCCCGGAATTTCCAGTATAATTGTATTTTTAACTTCGATATTTTGAAAGACATTGCATGATATATTGATGATACAAATGATTCCTTGTATATAAATGGCGAGTGTAAATCATTTAGTCTTGATGCAAAGAAGTTAGATTGTGCAAGATGCATATGTAATTATGAGAAGATTTTATTCAGTCAAAGAAATAACTACTTGAGTGTATATACGTAGGTTGTGTACATAATGTACATGTATTTCAAATTCTAAAATGAACATTTGTTTAAAAAAATATATATAAAGATAAAACGCAAAAATCTAAGAAAAAAAAAGGTAAAACATGAAATGTGTGTGCATGTTAAACTATTTTTCTTATTTCTGTGTGTAGTAAACTGTATTGTCTCTATCTATAAACAATGATAAATGTGTGATTCTTATTCAGCGATATCAAATTGTCATTATCAGTCTACTACATGTAATTTTATTAGTGTGTCGGGACGCCACACTCAAGAGGGGAGGTATGTCACAACGACGTTACGCGCGGTGTTGGTGACGTTTGACGTTACACTTTAATAGCGCTACAGAAAAATTGACGTAATGCTTCTAATAGTTTTACTTGCTTGACTGGTACCCTATCGCTTCCTCTTTGTACTTGAAATATGAGTTTAAAAAAAACAGAGGCTACTAATATTTAAACTTATGAACATAAAAGGCGCTGGGATTTGTATACATACATGATAAATTTTGTTAATTACTCGAAGCACTCTTAAACGCTTTTTCATGTATTACGTTGAAGCAAAACGAATTTTACGCCTTAAAAAACGTCCACTGGACAAATACGTTGAACCTCCAAAATGTTGCGTAAAAAATTAATTAATGGAGTAAATTATAATTCTGACATTCAATCTGGCCGATTAGAGTAGCACATTATGAACATTCAATTATTTCTGTAGTTGATGGGGAAAACAATAAAATTTAACGACTCGGAAATAGGCATTGTCTTATTTTTGCACGTCATTTTAGACGCTGGACATTTGTGTTGAACTTATAGTCCAATTAATAGCTCCAAAGGATGCAGTTTGATATCAAAATCAATGAAATATTTAAAATTTATATGAAAAGCACATTATTTTGATATAATTTGTTTCTATCTAAAGTTTCTTGTAAATGAGTAAATTTTTTGTTTATTTTGATATGCACGTTTTTAATAAAAAGCGTTACAGATTCTTCCTTTGTAAAAACTATCGCTCTCTATTTCCAGCCAAAATTTTAATGCAAAATCGTTAATAAAGCCCCAAACGAAATTGATTGCTGTAGTTTTGAAAGGAAAATAAAAATTCTAATTCACTTTTGAACGCGCTACACACGACAAATGCATGATACCTGCTAAAAAATGTAACGCGTTACACGCTTCAAATACCTTTTATTTGCGCTTTAAAATTCCATTTTTTGCATAAAAAACTATCTAAATGTTATTTTCTTACAAGAATCAAGTAGTTCTGTTTAAACCCTATCCATACATACCAAAATCATCTATATTACGAGTATATTTTAAAAATCACCGATGAGTTTAATAGGTCATATTCTAAAATTGTAAAATGGCACCAACACCGCGCGTAACGTCAGAGCAATCACCCAAGTTAATTAATTGTAAATGAGAGAGTTAGAAGTTCTGATAGGTTGCAGGTGCGCGGCGCAGGCGTTGTAGCCCTGTTTCCCAAGAGTGTGATTTGAGCTAGTTAGAGAGAAAGCGAGTGGACAAGCATGGATTTATAATTTGTTTATTTGTCATTTCTGTTACCGTTGTTTATTGTGCGTGATAGAGTTCTGAGAGATGAAAGTGAGCACTAGAATGATTTGTGTGAGAAGGTGGGCCCTGGGAACATGAGTGAGAGAGAGGAGGACAAGTCTGAAAGTCAACGAGTGTGGATGTGTTTTTGTATTGTGAACAATTGTGATTTCTTATATATATATCTGTGTTGTAAATATGTAAATAAACGATGTAAATAAAAACTATAGTCATTAATTACCAGTGCCAATGACGGGGAGGACCCCCGTCACACACAGAACAAGGTATTCTATATATTGCACCGAATAAACGTAATATACACTTATCAGACCGGGAGGGAAAAGTAAGAGATCTCATTACTGTTAATGATTGGGATTTATGTAGTGTCCACAAAAGTCGTTTGAATGGCAATATCTTTGTTGGGATGAGGAAAGAATGTACAGCAGCTCGAGTCAAGAGGTTCAATGAAAATGGCAAAGTTCTTCAACACGTCCAAGTTGATAAACAGAAAGTCGGACCAACTCTACATCCACACTTTATAACAGAAAACGGGAATGGCGATGTAATAGTGACAAGTAATGGAATCAAAAAGGTTGTTGTGATGGACAGATCGGGAAGATACAGATTCACCTATACAGGGAATCCAGAAAACTCGATAGGAAATCCATGAGGAGTAGTGACAGATATTCTAAAGAACATTCTTATCTGTGACAGTGATAATAAAAAGATACAGATTATCAACGAGGATGGCGTGTTTCTCGCATACATAGATGTTAATAAGTACGGTTTGCCTTTTGCTGTTGATATTGATGTTGTGCACAACGTCTGGGTGGGGTTTTTGGGTTCTGGTACGATAAGAAAATTTCGATATCTTCAGGAATGTGACTAACGTCCCTCCTTTCCACTAGCATGCAAGAAATCTTGTCAGAATGTGAAAATCTGTTGTTGTTTTTTATTATTATAATCAAAATCAAGTGATTAAGAATTATTTACGATTAAAGTTTAATTTCAATCATTATTGAATAGGAATATTTATCTAGATAAAAAACAAATGAAAATTATACAACATAATTATTAAAGGTTTAATTTTTTAAAAGCAATTAATTAAACAATGACTACCGTATAAGTAGAATTTTTAGCGAGGATTTAATTTTGGCATTATTAGCGAGGGTCCTGAGATCGCTAATAATTAATTGCATTTATCTGTAAAAGCTCCTTTAGTAAACATTTTAAAATCGTTAAAATTACCTCTCGCTAAAAATAAATAACATTTTTTAAGGAGAAATCGCTAAATGTGCGTCTCGCTAAAATTTCCACTTATACGGTATTTATATTGAATACATGTACAAGTGGAGAAAAATATGCTCATTTAAGAAAATAATAATGAAAAAAATGATCAAGTAGAAAAATCCAACATGTGTACAATAAAAATAGACAATTGATAACGTTGACAACTTACCTGGGTATTACAAAGACAGTACAGTAAGAGTGATCGTTCCTTTCATGTAAGAAGTTGTGATCAGTAATTTTATCCACTTCCAGTAGGAAACACATTTTAGAAAACAATATTTTAAAATTAGAAAAATGACAATCAGCTTAAAAGATATGTCTTCACTTTTAGTTTGACTGAAAGTTGTAATAATACAAACATGATAAAAAAATGATATAACTGTTTTTCATCGTTAGGTTAATCCACATACGTAAATGTATTGTTTCACGTTGTCAAATTCAAAATTTATTTTCGTTTCTGAATTTCTCAAAGATTAACCAAATGACTAACACATTTTAATTGAAATCACGAAAGTTTATAGCAAAAGCATTTCACTTTAAATCAAACCGAATAGATTGTGGACTTTTCTGCAACCATCATTTTTGAATCTTTACAAATTTATATCGCTTAAAATTTCAAGGTTTTTTTTTTTAAATAAAAGTTTGTATCATCTGTCCTTAACCTTTAAAAATATTGGTCCTAGCACATTTGGTTGCAAACATTTTTCAATCCTTTTTATTAATTTGAATAGGAAAGAGCATCCAAATTATTTTTGTGCATCAAAATTAGTAAAACATTACCAGTCAATATGGGACGCTTTTTTCTCTTTCTTTAATTTTTTTCATACGCAACGTACCTTACCGATTGATAATTTTTCAAGATATTCTTAAAATTTAAAAATTATCGTCAGATGTTCAAAGACAAAAAAATCAGCATGCATTACAGGGGTTTTTAAAAGATATTGATTGGTGAAAATTTCTGGATGATTCAACGAAAAATGTATTTAAAAAATACTTAACATATATTCTAGATGTTTCTTTAATATAAAATTGTTATAGAAGAAGTGTACAACACTATAAGATAAGATAATTTTATTTCCAATTTTGGGCCCAGAAGGCATAAAGGTTTCTTACAATGACAAGATAGAAAGTTCTGAAAGAAAGGTTAGTAAACATATACAAACATAAACACACACACACACATGTATATATCTGATATAATATTACAAGTAACTGGACATGTAGATGCAGCAGTTGGGGTTATCAAATTGTTAATTAACACTATATATAGAAGTTAAAATACAACACAGTTCCTTCAAAAAGCCAAAAAAAAAACTATACATTGCATATAACCTTAAGATATGGCTTCGGGGCCATAAATCTAGATGAGTTCACTTTTGATCCGAGTATAATCTTTTACTAAGGATAAAGTACTGAGTAGTAGTAAAGTGAGAATCAGGTCAAAACTGACCCATCTAGTTGTATGGTCCCGGAGCCAGGCGACACCTCTGTAATTTCCAGGATTCTGAGTCTGTAGGATTACTATTCTTTATCTTCACCTGTTTCATTAAAATAAAACATATATCATGAACAATACTTATTGTATGTGGTTTTTTTTCGTTAAATTATGTTGTTTAGTGTCTCTTCCTCATACTTTTATTTTGAAGATTCTTGACACCGCCAAGATGCGTGACAAGTATATTATAAACAGCACAGTCCTTGACTACCTGTCAAGTATTCTAGAGGTGATTTTAGTACTTTATCGTCTTCTGCTTGGCGCAAGACACCTCTAATTATTTGTCTAATAACTTTACAATGGTGATTTAATCCCCTCTGACGTTATTTAAAGAAGTCATCAAATTTGTCTAAGAATCTCCCGAGATAAGCGAGCAAACACCGTAAAAGAAGCTGTGTATAGATTTTGTTTGCAGTTAACCGAAGGAGCAATAAGTGGGGTCATAAAACAGAATACTAAAATCTGTCGTCTCTATTCATAAAAATTAGCAAAGAATTTACTTCAAAATACATGAGGAAGTATTATGTTTAGTCTAGAAGCTAGAAGACATGATACATGTTACCAGTTAAAAGATATGACATGAACCATACATACAATACAAAACCCGTTCTCTATTGTTGGGTATGTTACGTGATCTTGTTCTGTCCATCTGTCACATTAACTTCTCCCTCAAATTCGGTTTATATATTTTCCCTTGTACCCAAATTCATCTTTTAGGACATGAGTTGTGGTGTCCATGTATATGCAGTAAGATTTTTAAGTTTTCAAATTCAACCTTGGAAACAAATTGGCAAGTCAAAAATAAATTATTTTTCCTTAAAAACATTCTGGGAACATTCTAGTTCTAAAGGTCTTCCTATATTCTATAGCCAAATAATCTCTGGAGTACATGTATATATGTGCAATAAGGGATTGGATTTTTTTTCTAAACGCAGGAGTTAATTTAACTCTGATTGATGTGATTGTTGGTTTATATTTTTATTATATGAAAAACGTTTCTTGTCCTTTTTTTCACTATTCATTTCTAAATGATTTCATATATTTGAATGTGATAAATAAATGACACTAAAAGCAAAAAGATAGTTCCATCGCTCTTTACTAAAAATTTTCAAAACAAAAACACACAAAAAGACATTCAAAATGTGTCTGTATATAACAAAGCAGCTGTTCATAACATAAAACAAGAGTGGTAAGTTTCTCCGGTTTGTTCAAGCTTATACCACCTTGTATACGGTTCACCGAAGCAGAGCTCCTCAAACTGAATGGTCATCTGGCCAATACAGAAGTTCCTACCGTATTTATTATAGTGCCAAACTGTTACCAGTAATTCTGAATCTTGTAAGTCCGATTTTGATATAAAATACTGAAATAAAAAGAAAAAAGGGTTTGATTCAAGAAAGTCCTTTAAGGATTATTATTTTAATCAAAGGAAATGCTAATATAAAGTTACATATATCTACCTAGAGTGTTACATTAATGTATTGTTCTATAATTTGATTTGTTGAAAACAAGTGAAAACAAGAAATCTGAGCCAATGCTCGCTAGTAATACCCCCGCTCTGATGTAAATTATAAAGCACTATCATGTTAATATACTGTTTACACAAGTTCAATTACAGACAGATGAAGTTGACATCAGATTCATATCAAAATTAGTCCCACCATATGGCATGCCTCAACAAAGTCGGTAATGAAATTTCAAGCATCTGCTATGAAAAGCTAATGAGAAAACTGCTACGAAGATTTGTCATGTATAAAAGGGACAGACGCTCAGACAAACAGGAAGTTGATATCGGATTTAAACAAAAATGTATCCCACCAAATGGCACGCCTCAGAGAAGATTGTGTTAAAATTTCAAGCATCTGCGATGAGTAGTTGCTGAGAAAACTGTGACGAAAATTCGTTATATATGAAACGGTCAGACGCACAGACAAACAGGAAGTTGACATCGGATTTAAACAAAATTGTATCCCACCATATGGCATGCCTCAGAGAAGATTGTGTTAAAATTTCAAGCATCTACCTTGAGTAGTTGCTGAGAAAACTGTGACGAAAATTTGTTATGTATGAAACGGACAGACGCACAGACAAACAGGAAGTTGACATCGTATTTAAACAAAAATGTATCCCACCATATGGCATGCCTCAGAGAAGATTGTGTAAAAATTTCAAGCATATACGATGAGTAGTTGCTGAGGAAACTGCGACGAAAATTTGTTATGTATGAAATGGACAGACGCACAGACAAACAGGAAGTTGACATCGGATTTGAGCAAAACTGTATCCCAATATCCCAACATATGGCATGCCTCAGAGAAGACTGTGTTAAAATTTCAAGCATCTACTATGAGTAGTTGCTGAGAAAACTGTGACGAAAATTTGTTTCGGACGGACACACGGACACACGGACGCACAGACAGACGGACAGACAGACAGACAGACAGACACACAAGGGTAAAACAGTATACCCCCCTCTCCTTCGGAGCGGGGGTATAAATATTTTTGAAGAGTTAAAAAAGTTTAATGACTATAAAATACTTGTTATTTCCATTTTGATGAGGTAATGCAAATGTTGATGTTGCTCTAAGATTCTGTACATTTATGTAACATATCTCCTCATAATTGCAAAAAATGAAAGAGGATGAATTCTATAGTTCATAGGATAAATGGTCGATTTCCTAACATGATTTAAGCTGCTAAAAATATATTTTAGACATTGGTTAGTTCAATAAATGACATTTTCACTCACTTGTTTTCTTAAAAAATTTATACACGAGGTTAAGCAAAAGCAAGCTGCGAATAGCCAGATTTGTCTTCTCTGGTTACAGGAAAAGAACTATATGCGGTATATTGCATATATTTGCCCCCACAAAAGTCAAATTTTGAAAACTTCCTGAAATGTGCTGAATTCAATAAATTGTATGAGAAATATAAATTAACAGAAAATATTATAGTTTCAAAGCAGTGTATTCAAATTTTTTTGTTTTAATGACGTCATAAACTAGTCTTATTTTATATCCTTTTTCAGAAAGAGGACAAAATGGACAAAATTTCAACACTTTTAGCTTTAAAATATATACAGCGCAAGTTTGTTCAGGAACAATATTGACATATTTCATTGATATTATCATTTTACATATTATATCAAAATCTTGATCCTGAACACACATACGCTCGGTGACTTCTACTCAAAATACCGACGAAATATGTAAATTTTTCTGTAGAATTCATAAAAAAAAGAAATTTACGTCATGTTTGTGACATCATATCGTACATATGACGTCATTACTTATGAAATTATTCATTGCGTTGAAGTCAGCATATATTCCCCTGTTTAAGAACTTAATGAAATATATCTCCATCAAAGTTTGATTTGGGGGGCAAATATTGGTTATTACCGAATAAAGTTCTTTGTAGATACACTATAATATATTTCATTATTGTCATGGAAATATTATTTGACCAAAGAATTCAATTATTATCCTGCGTCTGTGTTTTGTAACTAACCTAGAGAAAGGTTGCAAAGGATAAAACTTATAACAATGCTCTCTAATTTACTTAAGTATGTTTCATCATACCCGAAATAATTCATAGAACCTCGGATTGGTTGAGGATGGCATGACCTTTGTTTTCCTTTTGCCGTATTTGATATCTGCGATAACTAAATATGATTTAACATATCTGAAATGAAGAACACAGAGATAATCATTCAAATTTAAGTAAGGTACTTTAAAGTAGTTCTTTTACTTAATTTAAATCGAATAACATATTCAAAATAGCATTGTCCCAGTGAGAGATTGGTTTACTTAAACGTATCTTGTTTTAGCATGACTGATTTGATTAAGATGAAATTAATCTGGATTTCGATTTTCAGGATTCCCCCTTTAAAATCTATCTTACGGATTTGACTGTTGTTTCTTCCAATCCACAAAAGGGAGGTTACGACATTCCATAATGGACACATCTAGACTCTTCAAGTTATTGTTGTATTTCAATCCTAGGCATATAGCAGGGGCAGTATCCCTCTAAAGTGAAAGTTTAAGGAAAAATTTATAAAATACACAAAACTATTGAAGCTAGTAAAAAGCTAAACAAAAATGCGAAAACAAAATTGTTTGATATAAAGCAGTAAAGATAATGGAAAGTAGCGGAATGCATTTTAAAACTTACCACATGATCGTTGGCCTTAGAATCCAAAGCAATGCTGTATCTAGAGCTTTCTGAATTAAACATTTAAAAGTTGATAATCACAGTACTAAAATTCAGTTCATTATCATTTTATGTAAGTAAAATATAATTGTATTTAGTATGAGTTAGTTAATCATTTCAGAGCAAAAAAAAACCCGACCTTTTTTCTTCTTATCTAGAAGATCATCAAAAGATGAAAACGAGTTTTCGGTTTCATCTTTCGGACTCTGTTCCTCAAACTGGGAAATACAATAGCTTTCTGTGTCGTCTTCACAATAAACAATGGTCTCTAAACATGGACTCTCTGGCGAGATCCTGTACCAGTTTGTTTCCCTCCAGAAAGTCTCAGGATAAGCAGGATCTCCGACAATTCCAGATCCTAAAGAAAAGAGGGACTTGAATTACTAGTTCCATGTATTTGTAAAGTTGATATATACACATCTAATGAAATTGTCGATTATTGTGTTGGTGAAATTAACATGGATATTATTTACAGATGTAAATAATGAGTATTCTGTAATTGAGAATGAAGTTTTTTTTATCATTTATTACAATGACGAAACAAATGTAAAATTTGTGTAACAATATACATCGCCGGAAAACCACGGTTAATTTCGATGGAGAGATGATGAGTAAAACATAATCAGCCGTTGGTTTCCGACGATATTAACTTTATTACAAAACAAGTTTGAGGAAAATTCTAAGAATGTTTGGTACTGTATTCCTTTTTATGTTTTTTTTTTCTACATAACTTGAGACATAGGCTCAATTTCTGTTTAACTTCCTTTAAACTTAAAGAGTATTTGAATAAATTAATATAATTAATAAATAGTACTTTACCTGTATAATTCCATAATAAAATTTCAAGGCACCAATCCATGATCATCACGGAAAGAACTTCGTGATTTTTCCCACTAACTGGACAATGAAGATTTCTGGTCAATGGTCTAACATTTTCAAACCAGTCGTACTCTTGACAATTGCGTAAATACATATAGCAATTTTATTCGAATCTGTCTTGATAATTCGTGGTCTTTTCATCAATTTGATCTGCCCTCGTCGTGAACTTGTTACATTACAATAGGAAGAATTTCTTGTAATTCTATGGACATAAATATATTACAGGATGGTGAAACGTAAAACCGTGCTTCGAGGTTCTAAAACTTAAATTCAATTCTAAAAATAATAAATCTTTGAAAATTAAATAAGGTCGCTAAAATAACATCACCAGAATTTCATACTTTTTCGAAAATATTTTTACTTCTGTATCAATATATCCTTATCACCTGCATATGGATTTTTTTATGCGCAACAGCATTACGTACATGTTCAAAATCGAGGTAAGTTGAGAAACACGTTTATTATAATAGAATATCAAGAATATTATTTCAAGTCATCAATTCGCGAGTTCTATACATTGACCTTGTCAGCAAATACGACCTATCATTAAGGCAAATCCAGGTGGACGTTTTACAAACTAATTGTTAGACCATCATCAATATACTGAATTACAAACGGATTTTTTTTTCTGTTATTTCCCGATGATGTCAAGGAGCAAATAGTGGGTTTGATCGATCGGCAGTAGATGCTCACTCCTCTATGGCACCTGATCCCACCTCTGATATTTCAGACATCCGTATCTGTTCTTCTCCTGATTTGGATTGTTTCAATGGACTTTTGAATTTGAATATTGTTCGTTGTATCCATGTTTCTTTTAAGCTTTCTTCTGCTCTAAGTTCATAAGTACTGAATAATTTTAAGAACCGAGGTTTTTTTTTTTAATTTTGCCATACAGGCACTACATAGACAGATTCGATGCTGACACGAATATTATACATTTATTGCATGATAGTGAGGGAAATATGAAGACTAATGCAGCCAAGAAAAATCATATTCCCCGAGGGCTTTGCCGGAGGGGAATATGATTTTTCTTGGCTGAATAAGTCTTCATGTTTCCCGAACATTCATGCAATGAATTGTTTATTATACCAAAACAAGCAAAACCTTTGAAAGAAACACGAACTTTCAAATTCGACACCGCTCTCAAATTCACTTTCATTTTTAACGTAAAAGTTCCTGAAACCTTTTGACACATTTCTCATCAACAATTTTGTGTCGCAAACCAGTCTATTGTGACGTTGACTACTCTCGGGAGTTTTCTTTATACGAACGATAACTAAATTGCGGGAAAATACAATAGGTTCCGAAGAGGTGGGATATGATGAAAAGCATGCCGACGACCGGGAAATATGAAGTTTGATGGCCCGATCACGTGATAATCTAGAACCAATCAGATAACGCGTCGTGTAGAATAATTATAATGAGGTATAATAATATCACTTCCAGCGTAACTTGACAAACAATACAAGTAAAGTATGGATTAAATATTAAGCCTTGTTCTTTTTTTCTTTAAAAAAGCAAACTTATTGTATAAAGGATGTTCATGAATTGACAACCCTTGTAAATTTATTTTCGATCATCGTTTTTGCAGTGCATACATTATGTCATAACTGTGGAAAAGATGAGGTGTGTATTTTATTGGTGCTATGATATAATTGACTAATCATCAAGGGTTTTTTTAATTACTTAATGATAATCAGTCAAATTTAGCTTTTCAAAACCAGTTACTCGGACATGTCTTGTTGCTAACTGATATCAAACCTTTGAAAAGAGAAAAACAGAGGAAATTGACATCAATTTTGTAAACGGAAATTGACAGCATGTACCATGTTTATTCCTCTTGCTGAACCGGAAACGGTATTGTAGATTGCTATTTAACCTGATCCCGTTTCTCTCCTTCATCGACAGTCATCCTTTGCTAGTCAGACGGACCATCAGATTAATAAACCATTGTAATCCATCGGTTCACAGAGAGAACATCAATTAACTGTATTAAATATCCATGTGAAGCCACACAATATTTTGAATTCAATTCATACATAGAGAACTGGGTTAGAAAGTAAGTGGGGGAAAAAATTAGGCCTGTATATTTGCATTAAATATGTATAAATCTTGTTTAAATGTTCCACGCTTTCTTTCAGGTTAACTGAAGTACGACTTAAAAAAATCGATGGTGTACATGTACTATTTTATACATTCAAACATTATTGTGTTGCAGAAGTCATATTTTAAAATTTAGATTCTAATGTTTTACTATTAAATTGGCCGAAATCTAAGGATATGAAAAATACTATTTCAGATTTCAATTAATCAAAATGCACGACTTTTTATAACGTCAATCTGAATGGGTTTTTTTTTTTTTACCTTTCCCTCATTTTTATGGTTGCTTCTCCCGTTAAGTGACAGAGGAAAAGTTGATTGCAATGTCAACCTAATTAGTGGTAACGACAAATACTTGAGTTATCGACAGAGCTAACCTCTGGTCAACACAATCCAGCCACCCTTCACTTGTTAAACAAATCTCAAAGTCGATGGACAATGAAAAGTTGTGTTGGTCGTTTAAATAAACTCGCTTTTCAATTAAACCGAGCGGTCCTGCTTTCCGCAAACATAGAAAATTTGCAAACCCATTATTTGAACATCTTAACGAGGGAATGTTAAAAGACCGCTATACTGCCACGGCTAGGTGTACCTAACAATTTGAGGCATATTTACTTTCCCCAAACAAAATCTAATATTCTAAACAGATTTTATTTACATCAGTGTGGCTATGATTTCTCAATTAGCCCAAATCCAGTCACGGATTTAGCCATTTGCGTCAGGATCGAAAGGATCTTTTCCGAACTTACGAATTCATAGGCACTGCATATAGATGCGAACACTTTTCCTCGCCGGTGTTGGGTTTTAAAAAGGGTGAGAAAGGATATAAAAAATCTTATCTTTTTTCTGACTCGTCGTGGAAAGGTAACAGGCAAATTAAAGCCAGTTAGAGCTGACTTTGGAATATATAACGTTCATTTATTATTGGAAAAAGGTGGAGAGATACCTATTTATAGTTCTCAGCAGAGCGATGATCGTAAATCCGTTAAAAAGTGCGATTTGCATCATTTTGATAGTAAGGGAGGACCCTTGATTTGAATTGAAGTTTGTTTGCAGGTAGACTTTAAAGGATAAACATCTTCAGAAGTTATCAGGCGAAGACATAAATGTATTATTACACCGTTATATTAGAACCACGTGGGATATGGGAGGAATTAATACGAAAGTATATTGATTTTTGATGCTAATATTCCAGGAGAGAGAGGGGGAGAAAAAAGTTCGTTATAATACTTAGATAATACACTTGGGATTTTCCTCTCAACATGTCGAACACGTATGAAAAAATTCTAAACGTGATATCGAAGCCACCAGCTTTTAGACAGGACTTCGAGATCCAGACTTTGATGCCATGGCTTCGGAAACAATCACAGCTATTCTCACAACTCAAAACAGGTAAGACAAACTGGCGGGGGATACATTTAGCAAAATTACAGGTTTCAAGGGTGTATATTTGCCTTGAAATTATTTATAAGTTTATTTTGATTATAATTTTTTTGATTTTCAGAGTTTTTTTTTATATGAAATTTTAAGATGATATCTGTTGCCACTTCATAAAGTTTTTTTTATTTAGACTCAACCAGATAAAATAAAATAATTAACGATATTACTCTGAAGTAGACAAAGACCTTTTTCTAAATATAAGAATAGTTGATAAGACTGAATTAGACAAAAGTTCTTACATTGCAATACAAAACATACCTGTCTTGTTGAGTTTGATTTTTAATTTAAAGTAGTATAACGATATTATATTTTTGTATTTAAAGATATATATTTTTTTTCTTTTTTTCGCTTGACAAATTTTGTTTGAATGAAATATAAAAAAAGTCCCATTTTATTTGTCTGATCTTTAAAGAGATCAATGAATAAAATTATATACTTTTGAAATGTAAAATGACCTTTAAAAAAAATTCAACAGTACCACACCTTATACATGTAACCATTAGTTGACAAAAATTTTTCCGATCATTACACATCCACAAATCAATGAACAATTGGATGACTAAAAGTGAACTCAATTACCGTTTGTTCAACAGTAATACACTTTCATTCAGAAAATGATCATTAATGGCATAAATAAATAATTCCTTTACATTAAAAATAAAGGAACAAACAGACTTCAAACCCAAAACAAAACCTTCAGACAAATAATGGAAGTGAAATGGCGTACAGGATGCCAAACCCTAGACGCTTTTGTATACATATGTTTGAACTTAAAAGTCTCTTCATTGATATGTATATGTAAAACCAAAACTGGGGACCTTTACTTGTAACAATTTAAATGTTATAACAATGCTTTGACAAACAGTACGTGTTGCTTTGATGTATTGCCTTAAATCTCGAACCAGAGGACATTTTGAATTCGTTCCTCTTTCCCGTTCCTCACTCATAAATCCGGTACTTTGTCGACACAAGTGTTTCTTATTTCCACGCAAATTGAAATCAATTTAAGATCTTTGTCTCAAGCGATAAAAATTTAAAAGACCTTGCTAAGATTTCATTAGTTCAAGTGTGTCGTTTATAGAAAAGGTATAAGGTTGAAAAAGCATACATAAATTTCTGGAAAAGTGTTTTCATGTTTAAATCAAAAGAGAATCGACCATAAACATCCAAATGCCATCGATTTCAAGTGTTTTGGTTTTTAAAAAATTCCACAGTATTGAGCATAAATTCTGTCACCTATTTCTTTCTGACATTAAGTACTGTTGTATATTTTGAAGATTAGCCTTGTTTTGAAACACACAATTACCATACGTAAATGTACATGTTGTATATAGGTAAAATATTTTCATCGATGTCTGACAAGTTGTTTTTTTTTTCACAGAAAAGTATTACAACAATTCAATTGCAAAATTGCATACTTTGAATAGACACAAAAAAAAAAATCAAAGTCCCTATAGTAGCATACTCGGTCTGAAAATGATTGAATTAAAATAAATTTAAAGAAAAATTGATCTGTGTACAATCCCATTTTTTTTTTACATTGAGAAAATAAGA